TGAAGTCTAAAAACATAAGAAAAAATAAGCACTCACATTACCTCATAAATAAATAGGTTTGATTAATATTTGTAGAATTGGCACCTTCTTACCAAAGACCGCAAACCCATGGCTGCCTTCGCATTTTAAACTGAAAATTTACAAAAGCAGGAGAAAAAGGGGCAGCTCTTGTATTTTCCAAAGAATACAGCCCTGTGGTCCCAGAAATTAATAATCTCAGACCCTCAGATCAAAGCAGTCTTGATATGCTCTCTTCCCCCTCTCTACCCCCAAAATCCTATAGCAAAGTCATTTAATTCATACTTACGAAAACTCTGTATATGCTAAGCAATATGCATGATGATAATAACACAACAGTGTTTGTTCCCAGAACTTAAAGTCTGGTGGCAGATCAAATCAGGAAACATTTCTTGATCACTTGCTAAGCACTATGACCCAATGTGTCATTTATATAGAATGCTACAATACCCAGGGATAGTCTCATCATATAAGTACTGTGCATTCTCTTACTGTGGATATTACAATATTTGCCTACCTAACACACACAGCCTGTGCTGTGGGAAAGGACCAGACTGTACCTTCAGGGCCCCCCCGCCCAATCCACTCTCTGGCCAGCTGGTGAGGGCTAGACTGGCAGGCAGCCTGATAGAATGCTCAGGCCCAGGCCATCAGAGCATCCTGTCACTCTGGCACAGCAACCAGGTCAGGGGAGAATGTGGCCCAACATAGGCCAGTTAGAACCAGAGCATCAGTCCCCAGAATAGTGGAGGGAAATAGGAGACTGATGTTTTCTTTCTACTGGTTTATCTGACCTGGGGAGATAGAAGATTGAATTTCCCCGGATCCACCAGGTGGAGAAAACATAACTGAACACAAAACCACCTGCCAGGGAGGTCAAGTCTCAATGATTCCGTTTAACCATTTCTCCACCTCTTCTCACTTGAGCCAGCTAGTCCTACCCTAAACTTTTCAATCACACAAATCAATAAATTCCCTTCTTTGCCTTAAGCTACTGAAAAGAATTTGTCTTGCAATCAAAGCATCTAAATTAACAATGGGTTGAATTCCCTCAGCTCTCGGGTCATCCATTAGGGCAAGAGTCAGGTATCTTTTTCTGTTTCGTACACTCTACCTAGCATGGTACCCCTGGAGGACTCAATCAGCTAACTCTCACTGAGGAGATGAACTACCCAGATCCTGACATTGCAAGGTAATTCACACACTATTCATCCAGCAACACCCACATCTCTGTTCAAGGTGTTCCAGCAAAGGGGGGACTGAACCTGGAGAGTCCCTGTTGGAGTTGGTCCTCAGCTTTGTGAGTTCTCCCAAGCATGAGCAGGCTCTGGGAGACTCATAAGTTCAAATAAAACTCATAGGAGAATGATTAAACAGATGGTGATTTACTAATAACCATAATAGCTGCCAGCTATTGAACAGTTACCATGAGACAGAAACTAAGCTACACATTTACACATCTCGTCTCTGTTGCCATATAATGCTCAGGAAAGAAAAAAAAATCCCTCATCCATCTTCACTTGTGGGGAGGGTCATGACAGCTAAGGGTGGCTTACTAAGCAGATGCCACCTGCTAATGTAGCCGAAGCTTCAGAGCCTTCCCTTTCTCCGATCCCTTCCACGGCCCTGCATGTTCCCCTCCTGGACACACAGAGGAAGCAGCACCCCTAGCCCACTCTGGAGGCATGCAGCTCGTTGGGCCTGGGGGTCTCCCTCTCTGCCGTGGTGATAGTCGTGGGGATAGGAAGCAGCTGTGGCCACACCAGCCACCACAACAAGCCAGCCCCGACCGCACCCTGTGTCTGATGGAGAAGGATCTGAACAGCACCCGTCCAACCTGTTGGCTCTGCTCCATGCTGAGGGCTATCATAGCCCAGTCTTAATGGCTAGCTCACCACCAACCATGCTCCAACTTGGGGACCAGGGAGAGCAGGGACCTGGCTGAACGGGACCAGCTGCTAAGGCAGTATCCACTAGCCCGTGGATGCCAAAGCTGGAATTCTCCAAGAGAGGCAAAAGCTGGAATTCTCCAAGGCAGGCTGGAGCAGCCCTCCAGAAGCCGCCCCAAGGTGCCAGCACACAGTCTCGCAGCTGAAAGAGATTTCCCTAAAGTGCCAATAATCCAAAACAAGTTTCCCTCAGCCACGCCCAGAGAAAGACTGAATTCTCTTTCTACTCGCTGAAAAGAAAATAATATTCCAAAATTGTTGTTATATGAAGAGACATTCAAAAAATACAAAGCCAAACCCTCTAGGGAAAAAAAGATTTTGTGGAGATGTGTCAGGCCGTTATCCTTGTATGCTAGATTTCTGGATTTTTGTTATGATCGCGAAATTTGTCAGCACTTTAGATTTATCATTGGTTGTGATTTTTCTCCATTCTGAATAAAATTTGCCTTATACTTAATTTTACAGTCATCATTTTGTATTCCTTTTTTTAAAAGAAAATGCATACGCTTTAAACCCCACAGAACCTGGATCTATCCCCGGCTTTGAGAAATTCTGGCCTGTCGAAAATAAGTCCACCTTGCCTACCAGGATGCCTGTAAATGCATGCCTTATTTATCAATAGGGAAGCATCTCTTATTTTAAACCCTAGAAAGAAAAATTATGCATGACTATTTTGGATAACTCTTATCTGGGTTTAGCCTAACGAGATTCACAAAGGCACGAAAGACTGGTTCCATAATTGGAATATTCCCCTAGGTGTCAAGACAGTGAGACACTTATGAGCTGGGTTGTACCCACCCCCAAAATCATTTGCTTAATTCCAACCCCTAGTACCTCAGAATGCAACTGTGGGAAAATAAATGTCTGGTGTTTAAGCCGTCCAGCCTGTGATATATTGTAATGGCAGCCTGAGCAAACTAAGACCCTGTGACAGACGGCTGAGGTTCCGAGGGGAAGCAGAATTGCCTGAAAGAAAGTTTAATCCATTCCAAGTTCGACAGAGGACCAGTCCTGAGGGCTGCACCATCTTCTTACCATGGCCCACTCTTGAACTGCTAATGGAACTAAAACCTTCGGGGTGGTGGGCACTTCTGAGACCTCCCTCCCAGCCCCGTCCCCACCTGCCTGTTCCCCGAGCCCTTGGCTTGTCCCCCCTGCTCCCCCAGCGGACTCCTTCCCAGCCCAGGGGCCCCACTCCCTCCTCCCACCCACAGCTAAAGTCCCACACTGAAGCCACCCTGGTATTCTACTAATCCTCTCCAGATAACCCTACACCAGCTCCCAGTATCTCCCCTGCAAATTTCAGAGTCTGGTCTTCTGTCTGTTACCCCACCCCAGCCTGTGCAGGAATGCTCTCTCTGTCCCTTCTTCCAAGTCCCCTCCCTCATTGACCCCCAGAGCCATCCTCTGCCAGCAAATGGAGACCTTGCGGGCCACCCTCTCCCTCATCTATGTTTAGTTTCCAGCCACCAGTCACCACATAAAATTGAAGTCCTACCCATCCCTCTACTCCCTGCTTAAAATGTGATCCCCAAAACAGAGACTGATGCTAAATAAATAAATAAATAAATAAATAAATAAATAAATGCAAAAAAGAGAAAGAAAAAAAAGCCAAGCCTGCAGAAAAACTCCAGAGAAGTTGGTATAACTAAAATATTTAGTTAATGAACGAAACGTCTCCAGTAAGGAGTTAAATTCTTGGCATGTGTTTTTATTTTAATAGTGATCTATGGGGTGCCTGGGTGGCTCAGCAGGTTAACCAGCTCAGGTCTTAACCTCAGGGTCATGAGTTCAAGTCCCGCAGGGGCTTGAACAGTGATCACTATTCATGAATGTCACAACAGTGACAGTCTCCCCAGTCACGCGACAGGATGGCTCGGCCATCTGACTGGGCTTCGGCCATCTGACTGGGCTTCCTGCCTAGCCTTCACCGGAATGTGGGAGGGGGCAGGGGCGGTCACTGCAGGGAGAGGCGAGGCAGGTCTCTCCTCCAGCTTCCCCTCCTTCTTTCCTGTCCTCTCCTACCTGCCTCCCCCCAACCAAGCCTGGGCAGCTGCAGAGCCTCTCTGGCCTCCACATGAGGAGCGTATCAGCAAGAGGCCATGATAGGGTGATGGGCCAGTCCCTTAGGAGTGTGCAGGGTGCCCTGGGTTGAAACCAAGCACCAAGGGGGCCAGAAGAGGGGGAATGAGGAGAAGAGGCAGAGAGATTATGCCAGAGCCAGGGAAGACCATGAGAGCACATGAAAACTGAGATGGAAAAGGGACCCTTTTGCAGGTCTCCTCACCATCCTTTCTGTTAAGAGGCACCTATGTGTCAGAGGCAAGACCGACCACCCCCTTTTCAGGCCTAGGCTCTCCCCTAAGCCGGCTCCCCCCTGGCTCAGGTAACCACTGCTTGGCACTACACCTGACAGGCTCCTCTTCCCACTGCCCAGCAGGAGGATGGTTAAACAATGAAGCTATAAAAACCCTTAACAATTTAAAAGACACTTATTTAAAAATGAGATAAAAGAGTGTCTCCAAATACTTGTATTCACAGCTACATTATAGTTTCAAAATATGAGAAGGCAATATTTATTTGTTAAGGAGAAAATCTGTTAAAAGAATACAACATTGAGTAAGTGCAAACGCTCCCCAGGGATTTGTATATCCATCGCCTGCGACCTCTCTTTTTTTCCCCCTTTTGTAAAAAAATTTAACAATTACGTTGTTGCTCAATGAAAACTATTCCTGCCACTGAAATTCAATCCAGAGCTACCGAGAGTCACCTGCTCCCCTTTGGAAGGTCTATTACATTTTTACCTCCATAATGAGCAGAAGTGTAAATGCAAGAGAAAAAAATTGTTGAGGTTGCAGCTATGTGAAGCTCCACATTCACACTCTCCAAGAAAGCAAATTATAGAAACCATGTTTCATCCAAGGGTCAAAATTAATGCAGTCAACCAAAATCAAATATGACATACGGTGTGGAGAAATCAGATACACTGACACACTGATGTTAGGTAAACAAACTAAGCAAACTTTAACTTACCAAAGAACAAAGGAGTAAAATGATGTTGAAAAAAACACACCTCCTCTGTTAAATATGGGATAAGGTACTCCCAAGCAGTTCTTTACAAAAGACCACAGATTCACTTTTGCATATGATGCCATTCATACTGAAACAGTAAAAATGTTGTTGATACTTAATATATCTCTGTAGTTTATATAATTATATTAAACCATTGTACTTTCTCATCAGGCTATTTTTAATTTTGATGTAATAGTCACATCAATCTACCCACAGATCCTACCTTCATTAACTATACATAGAGAATATTCCTGAAAATTTTATCATTAAGAATATGACATATTTAGCACCACCTGATGGTAAAAAAGAGAGATGAAAATGGCCCTTAATATTTGAATCATGCAAAGAAAAATTAGTCTATTTTCATAAGAGTCTATATATTTTGCAATATTAAACATTTTAAGGATTTTAGCATGTGTGTGACACCAACTATCTTAGAAATTAAAAATTTTAGAGAAAGTTTCACGTAAACTCTACCAAATTGTGTTCATATAGAAAATAAAATATAAACGACATCATTATTTTTTCATATCAAAAAGTTTCATTTGATAATCAAGTTAAATTTTTAAGCCATATAAAATTCTGTATTTAACAAAAATTCTTGAATTGTGACAAAGTATATGCCATGAGAGAGTACTAAAATATTACAGATGTTGCAGCACAAAATCCTTTCCTGAATTTGAATTTCTCTATACTTAAAATACGAATACTTTAAAAACATGATGGAGACCTCCAATTTTAATACAGAAGAGTAGAAAAGGAATTTCTTGCAAAGTCAACCTGCAAGTTTCAACAAAACTCAAAGGCACATGTAATGCCAGAGCAAAGTATATAAGAAACAGGAAGGACTTGACTGACAGTCAAGCAGGAGAGGGGATGCCATGGTTGCAGAAATTTAGACAAGGCTGAGAGGGTAAAAGTCCCGAAGAAAGTGGCATCGTCTGAGGGGCACACCCACTTCTGTTGTTGAGGACAGCTGGCCGAGGTGGGCAGTGGGCAGCTCCTGTCACCTGAGTTTGGTACAAGGAAAGCAGGATATGATGGGCTAAATGGAAAATCCATCAGACCTGCCATATATTCAGGAAGCAGTCTGTCAGTGAGGTGAGAAGCAGCAGAGAACCTGGGCATTATGGGCAGAGTTGCCTCTGAACATTTCAGATGACTTTGAAAGTAAAGTCAGGGAAAAATGCTCTTAAACACAAGTCTCTGTGTCCTATGAAGAATTCCTGCTAATGTGTCCATGGCCCTGCCCTTCATTGTGTTACTTTGCAATTAGCTGAACAAGCTCTGAGGAGTAAGAAAATGCTGAAAACCTACCAAAAGACATAACAATCAAGACTGAGAAACAATCAAAATGAAATGAAAATAAACAAAGAATTAACAAGGACTAGAAAGAAATGAGAGACAAGAAACTAAAAGCGCCAACATATGCCTAACTGGTATGCTCAAGGTGGAATAGGGTTAAATACATATATTTGAATAGTTATGTTAAGAAAACTTTCCAGACATAAAAGATTTTAATCAAAAGACATGTCTCAGGAAAAGCTGACAGAGGCAATAGACATACTGAAAAAAGAAAGGAATAAGTATATTCTATAAAGGAACACTACAACAAAAATACAAATCTTGGGAAATATTGAAAGAAATATACAAATGCAAAAATATCAGGCCACAAAGATAACCTCAAGTAATTCCCCAAAGTAGAAATAATAAGACAAAATGCCTTGATCACAATGAACAAACTAGAAATTAATAATGAAATCTAAAGCCCAAAAAACTAACAAACAAGTCTCTATCACTTAGAAACTTAAAGACTCAATTCATAGTCAAGGAAGAAATCAAAACCAAACTTTTGCTATAACTAGAAAACAGCAATAATTAAAAGGATGCCTAGAAGAAACTATGGGTTACAACTAAAGCAGAGCTCAGGGAAAAATGCATAGTCCTGTATGTATATTAACCAGAAAAAAATAAAAATATATGAGTAGGTCACCCAATGAAAAATGATAGAAAATAGATAAGAAAATAAAGCCAAGAATAATGGAAGGGAGGAATTAGTATGCATAAAATGTGAAAATAACTAGAAAAGTAAAAATGATAGTAATGATAAGTCCAAGAATTTAAGTACATACGTACATCAACTCTTACCTAAGCTAATTTTAACAAATAAGAAAACACAACTAAATAATCTAAGAAATTACAAGGGGAGAAACTTTAGGAATCCTAAGATACCACTTTTCTGAACTTGATGTGACTCTAAAAATCTGAAGAGATTATTTTCTGTAAAATATAAATTGCCAAAACTTATATAAAAATGAAAATTCAAAGTAGATCAATTATTCTAGAGGAAATACAAAAAATTCTTAGTGTTGACAGTTCCCCAAAAGCAGTGAGTTTAGATGATTTGACAAAAGAATTCTATCAATCCTTTAAGAAACAGATAACTCCACTGTTCTTTCAAACTATTCTAGATCAGGGAAAAATAAGGAAGGCTCTCAATCTTTTGCTTTAAACTACCATAACATTGATTCACAACAACAACAAAGATTACATGAATAAAGAAAACATAATTTATGGATATCAAAGCAAAATCCTTAAGAAAATATTAAAAGAACAATATACAACAACCAAGTCACATTAATGTCAAAATGCAAGAATGGATAAAATTTATTGAGTTGATTAATGTAAATCATCATTGAGGAACTTCTGGGGGAGATGACACAGTAGGAGGATCCTAAGCTCACCTCCTCCCATGGATACAACTAGATAACAGCCACATTAGTGTAAATAACCTAGAAAATGACTGGAAGGCTAGCAGAACAGACTCTCCACAGGTAAATGTAGAGAAGAGGCCACATAAAAGAGGGTAGGAAGGGTGGAAACACAGTTGGGAGCCAAATGGACCCACAGGACTGTTCGTGGGAGGGAGGGACATGGTGGTACAGAGAGAGGAGACGTGCAGATTCCCCACACCCAGCCCCCCAGACGTAGGGGGACTCACATGGGGAAGACAAATCCCCGTAACATTTGACGTTGAAAACTAGATGGCCCTGGCTACATGAGTTCTTACAATCAGTGGTGCTTAGCACCTGGAACTTTAAAATTCAGCGAGCTTGGCTCTCGGAGAGCTGGAGAGCAAGAGGAAAATAGTCCCCACTCTTAAAGAGACAGCTTAACAAACAGCCCCTGCTGAGACACAGGACCCTAGATCCATGGACACCCGCTGAGATACACCCAGCCTAGATACATGGACACTTGCTGGAAACAGCTCTCCACCTAGCTCACTAACAACACATCCCACCCTGGTGAGCTTCTGTAGATCTGCCCCTCCCAACTTGGCCAGCCTAAGCAGGAAATTCTCAGGCTGCTGCAGGCCTCCTCCCACGGTAGATCAGCATGAACCTTGCTGACACTGTGCACCTTGTCCCTGCATTCCCCTGCAGATTAGCCCCCTCAGTATACCCTTGGCCAGAATCCATCCAATGCAGTGCCACAAACTAACAGTGTACAAGCAGCCCCAACAGGGACCAGCATCACTCCAAAGTGACTCCTGCCCCGGAGAGAGGGGAAGATAACCACACACACCAGTCCAACTGCAACTCTAGCAGTGGGGAAGGGTGAGACATCAGGTCTCACTGCAGGACGTGACCACCAACTAAAGTTTCTCAGGGGACAACACAGGGAAAGCACTCTGCAGCTTGGTGATACTGCATCTCTGGCAAACAACTGCCCTAACTCAACTCAAGCCCAAAAAGGCCATAGACTGGCCCACTAACAACACATGGACAAAGCCAGGCCCATGGTAGGCAAAGGGAATCATTGCAAATGACTGGACTGAAGGCAAATGCAGCCCAGCCACAACAGCAGGGCAAACACAGCACACATAGGCAACACCCCTGAAGCATCAGATTCTGGTGAACAGGGGACATTGCACTGCAGGGCACTATAGGACCTCTTCTTAATAAGGCCACTACTTTTGAGAGCAGGAGACATAGCTGACTTTCCTAATACAGAGAAACAACAGAGAATTAGACAAAATGAGGAGAGAGAAACATGTCCCAAATGCAAGAACAGGACAAAAATCGCAGCACAGGAGCTAAATGCAACAGAAATAAATAATATACCTGATAAAGAATTTAAAGTAATGGTCATAAAGATACTCACTGGACTAAGAAAACAGTGGAGGACCTCAGTGAGACCCTCAACAAAGAGACAGAAAACATAAAAAGGAACCAAAGATGAGGAACTTAATAACTGAAATTAAAAATACACTAGATGAAATAAATAGTAGACAAGAGAGAGCAGAGGAATGTATAAATGACCTTGACGACAGAGTAATGAAAGCAATCAAGTTGAACAGAAGATGGGGGGAAGAAAGAATAAAAAATGAAAATAGATTAAGGGACCTCAGTGACAACATCAAGCATAATAACATTCACATTATAGGGATCCCAGAAAGAGAAGAGGGAGAAAGGGGGGCAGAAAATTTATTTGAAGAAATAATAGCTGAAAATTTTCCAAATCTGGGGAAGGAAACAGAAATCCAGATCCAGTAGGCAAAAAGAGTCCCCAGCAAAATCAACCTGAGGTCCACACCAAAGCACATAGTAATTAAAATGGCAAAAAGTAGTGATAAAGAGAGAGATTTAAAAGCGGCGAGAGAAAACAGTTATATACAAGGGAAACCCCAAAACGCTATCAGCTGATTTTTCAGCAGAAACTTTGCAGTCCAGAAGAGAGTAGCATGGTATATTCAAGTGCTGAAAGAATAAAACCTGCAACCAAGACTACTCTCTTCAGCAAGTATATCATTGAGAATAGGAGAGATAAAGCTTCCCAGACAAACAAAAATTAAAGGAATTTATCACCACTAAACAGCCTTATAGGAAATGTTAAAGGGGACTCTTTGAATAGAAAGGAAAAGCCATAAGCAGGAGTAAGAAAAGTAGAAAGTACAAAAGCAGTAAAATTAAGTATATCTATAAAAATATGTCAAAGGATTCACAAAAGAAAAAGGATGTAAAGTATGACACCATATACTAAAATGTGGGGAGGGTGGGGCACCTGGGTGGCTCAGTTGATTAAGCATCTGACTTTGGCTCAGACCAAGCCCCACATCTCCTTGCTCAGTGGAGAGCCTGATTCTCCCTCTCCCTCTGCTGCTCCCCCTTGCTTGTTCTCTCTCTCTCTCTCTCTGTCAAATAAATAAATAAAATCTTTTTTTAAAAATGTGGGGAGGGATAGGAGTAAAGAATGGGTTCAAACTTAAGCAACCATCAACTTAATATAGACCTCTATTTGCATAAAATATTATATATAAACTGAATGGTAGCCACAAATCAAAAACCCATAATAAATATGCAAAAAATAAAGGGAAAGGAATCGAAGGATATCACTAAAGAAAGCCAGCAAACTGTGAGAGAAGAGAGCAAGAGAAGAAAGGGACAGAGAAGAACTATAAAAACAACCGTAGAACAAGCAACAAAATGGCAATAAGTTTGTACCTATCAATAATTACTTTGAATGTAAATGAGCTAAACACTCCCATCAAAACACATAGGGTGACAGGGAATGGATAAAAGGCAAGACCTCTCTATATGCTACCTACAGGAGATTCACTTCAGACCTAAAGATACATGCATATTGGATGTGAAGGGATGGAAAATCATGCAAATGGAGGTTAAAAGGAGGCTGAGGCAGCAATACTTACGTTGGACAAAATAGACTTTAAAACAAAGACTGTAACAAAAGACAAAGAAGGACACTACCTAATCATAAAGGTAACAATCCAAAAAGAAGATACAATGATTGTAACTATTTTTACACCCAACATGGGAGCACCAAAACACATGAAGTAGCCAATAATAAACATAAATGAAATAATACAATGATAGAAGGGGATTTTAACACCGCACTTACATCAATGGATAGATCATCCAAACAGAAAATCAACAAGGAAACCGTGGCTTTGAATAACACATTGGACAAGATGGATCTAACAGATATATTCAGAACATTCCACCCTAAAGTAGCAAAATACACATTCATTTCAAGTGCAAATGGAACATTCTCCAGATTAGATCACATTTTAGGCTACAAAACAAGTCTCAACAAATTCAATGCATCCTTTTGTACCACAAAACTGTGAAAGTAGAAATCAACAACAAGAAAAAAAATCTAGAAAGAACACAAATATGCAGAGGTTAAATAATATGCTACTAAACAACAAATGGATCAAGAAATCAAAGAGAAAATAAAAAAAGAGATAGAGACAAATAAAAATGAAAACACAATGGTCCAAAATCTTTGGGATGCAGCAAAAGCTATTCTAAGAGGGAAGTATATAGCAACATAGACCTAGCTCAAGAAGCAAGAAAAATCTCAAAAAACAACCTAACTTTACACCAAAAGGAGCTAGGAAAAAGAACAAACAAAACCCCAAACCAGTAGAAGGAAGGAAATAATAAAGATTAGAGCAGAAATAAAGGAAACAGAAACTAAAGCAAAACAAAACAAAACAAAACAAAAACCCAATAGAACACATCAATGAAACCAGGAGCTGTTTCTCTGAAAAGATCAAAAAAATTGATAAACTTTTAGTCAGACTCAGACTAAAAACCTTTAGCCAGAGAGAGAGAGAAAGAGAAAGAGAAGACTCAAACAAAATTAGAAATCAGAGAGGAGGAATAACAACCAACCCCACAGAAATACAAAGAATTATAAGAGACTATTTCAAAAAATGATATGCCAACAAACTGGACATCTTTAGAAGAAATGGATAAATTCCTAGAAACATATAACCCCGCAAAATTGAATCAGGAAGAAATAGATATTGAACAGACTGATCACCAGCAATGAAATTGAATCAGTAATCAAAAAAACTCCCAACAAACAAAAGTCCAGGACCAGGTGGCTTCACGGGGGAATTCTACCAAATATTAGAGAAGACTTAATACCTATTCTTCTCAAACTATTCCAAAAAAATAGAAGAGGAAGGAAAGCTTCCAAATTCATTCCATGAGGACAACATTACCCAAATACAAAACCAAACAAAGACACTACAGAAAAAAAGAGAACTACAGGCCAATATCTCTGATGAACATAGATGCAAAATCCTCAACAAAATGTTAGCAAACCAAATCCAACAATATATTTAAAAAAATCATTCACCACAATCAAGTGGGATTTATTCCTGAGATGTGAGGGTGGTTCAATATTCACATATCAATCAACATGATACATCACGTCAACCATATGATCATTTCAATAGGGCAGGAAAAGCATTTGACAAAGTACAAATCAATTCATGACAAAAGCCCTCAACAAAGTAGGTTTAGAGGGAACATAACATAATAAAGTTCGTCTATGAAAAACTCACACATAACATTATACTCAATGGTGAAAAACCAAGAGCGTTTACCCAAAGATTGGGAAGAAGACAAGGATGTCCACTCTCACTACTTTCAGTCAACGTAGTACTGGAAGTCCTCGCCACAGCAATCAAACAAGAAAAAGAAATAAAAGGTATCCAAATCGGTAAGGAAGAAGAAAAACTTTCATTATTTGTAGATGACATGCTACTGTATATAGAAAATCCTAAAGACTCTACCAAAAATTACTAAAACTGATAAATGAATTCAGTAAGGTCACAGGATACAAAATCAATATACAGAAATCCATTGCATTTCTGTACACTAAAAATGAAGAAGCAGAAAGAGAAATTAAGAAAATAATCCCATTTACTATTGCACCAAAAACAGTTAAGTACTTAAGAATAAACTGAGCCAGGGTACCTGGGTGGCTCAATCGTTAAGCTTCCAACTCTTGGTTTTGGCTCAGGTCATGATCTCATGGGTTGTAGGATCAAGCCCCACATTGGACTTCATGGTCAGTGGGGAGTCTACTTGGAGATTCTCTCCCTCTTTTCCACCACCCCCCTCTAAAATAAAATAAATAAATCTTAAAAAAAAAAACTGAACAAATGAATTGAAAGACCTGTACTCTGAAAATTATAAAACACTGATGAAAGAAATTGAAGATGACATAAATAAATGGAAAGATATTCTATGCTCATGGATTAAAAGAACAAATATTGTTTAAAGGTCCATACTACCCAGAGCAATCTACAGATTTAATGCAATCCCTGTTAAAATACCAAGAGCCTGTTTCACAGAACTAGAACAAATAATCCTAAAGTGTGTGTGGAACCACAAAATACCCCAAATAGCCAAAACAATCTTGAAAAAAGAAGAACAAAACTGGAGGTTTATCATGATTCCAGATATCAAGACATATTACAAGGCTATAGTAACCAAAACAGTATGATATTAGCATAAAAATAAACACATAGATCAATGGGACAGAATGAACAGCCTAGAAATATGCCCACAATTATATGGTCAGTTAATCTTCGACACAGGAGGCAAGAATATGCAATGAAGAAAAAATAGTCTCTTCAGCAAATGGTGTTGGAAAAACTGGATAGCTACATGCAAAAGAATGAAATGGGACCACTGTCACACACAATGCACAAAAATAAACTCAGAATGAATTAAGAACCTAAATCTGAGACTTAAAACCATAAAAATCCTAGAAGAGAGCACAGGCAGTAATTTCTCTGACATTGGCCATAACATTTTTCTAGATATGACTCCTGAGGCAAGGGAAACAAAAGCAAAGATAAACTACTGGGACTACATCAAAATAAAAAGCTTCTGCACAGCAAAAGAAACAATCAACAGAACTAAAAGTCAACCTAGTGAATGGGAGAAGATATTTGTAAATGACATATCTAATAAAAGGTTGGTATGCAAAATAAAAAGAACTTATACAACTCAACACACACACACACACACACACACAAAACACCAACCAAGAAATCCGATTTAAAAATGGGCAGAAGACATGAACAGACATTTCTCTAAAGAAGACCAACAGATGGCCAACAGACACATGAAAAGATGCTCAACATTAGTAATCATCAAGGAAATGCAAATCAAAACCACAACGAGATACTACCTCACACCTGTCAGAATGACTAAAATCAAAAACACAAGAAACAGCAAGTGTTGGCGAGGAAGTTGAGAAGAAAGAACCCTCATGCACTCTTGGTGGGGATGCAAACTGGGGCAGCCACTGTGGAAAACAGTATGGATGTTCCTCAAAAAATTAAAAATAGAACTACCATATGATCCAGTATTTCTACTACCGGGTATTTAGCCAAACAATACAAAAACACTAATTCAAAAAGATATATGCATCCTGATGTTTACTGTAGCATTATTTACAATAGTCAGTATCAACAGATGAACAGGTAAAGAAGATGTGATATATATGGAATATTATATATATATTTATATATTTATATAAATATATGGAATATTACTTGGCCATAAAAAATAACAAAATGTTACCATTTGCAGGAACATGGATGGACCTAAAGGGTATAATGCTAAAATGAAGTAAGTCAGAGCAAATCTATATGATTTCACTCATATGTGGAACTTAAGAAACAAAACAAAGAACAGAGAAAAAAAGAGATCAACTGCAGAGAACACAAAGATGGTTATACCAGGAAGAAGTTGGGTGCGGGCGTGGGTGAGGGACATGAAGGGGATTAAAGAGCACACTTACCGTGATGAGCACTGAGTCATGTATAGAAGTGTTGAACCACTATACTGTACACCTGAAATTAAGATAACACTGTATGTTAACTATACTGGAATTAAAAATTTTTTAACTAAAAAAAAATAAATCATCATTGGACATATCAAAAGAAAAAAATCAAGTAATCATCTCCATATACGATTAAGCAACATTTTATATGAGTTAACATCCATTTTTAATAAATGATCTGAAATATAGGAAAAGATAGATGGTTCATCAATATGATATTAAAATATAACATCTATAAAAAGAATGTCAATTAAGTATGTGTGTATGTAGATTTAATTTGTGTGTGTGCATCAGTCCCAAAATTAATACCATGTTTCATAGAGATAAGGTAGTAGCTTCCAATTCAGTCAAGAAAAAGATAGGAATGCCCATTGTCACAACTATTGACATTGTTCTAGCAGTACTCGTGCATCCAACTTGGTAAGAGAAATATCCATTAAGTACGAAAATTAGAAAAAGGAATTCAGATTATGTGACCTCTAACTGGGAAAACACAAGGGATCATTTAAAAACTATCACAAGCAATAAGATAATTTAGAATGATGGCTGGATGCAAATTTTATAGAGAGAAATCTATTGCTTTCATAAGCAATATAAAAAGCAACGATAAGCAACTGTAATGACTAGTTTGACAAGACCCAATATACTACTACAGACCAAGCTCATATTGAATTCCAGCATACAATCTTAAGTAAAGCAAAGTACTGAACTCTTCAGACATAGTAAGTTACCATTTCTGCCGCCCACCCCAAATATTCTATATGTAGATACATAAGATTATATGTGCACAGCTTACCTACAGAAGGTTACAGAAGAATCACCTAATTCTACTCGCCTCTGAAGGAGGGAGTTCAGTGACTACGAATCAGAAGTGAAGGAGAGGCTCACTTTTCACTGTCTTCTCTTCGTCGTTTTGAATGTTGTCTCATATGCATGTATGAACTATCCAAAATATAAATAAAATCTCTTTTTTAATCAATAGGAAGGGAATATGTGCTCACTGGCCATGGTTCTCGTTTCGTGATTAGTTCTTAAGGATTCTTATCTTTGGAAAATGCTCATAAAATTCTAGGTCTCCAAACTCACATCTCAGTCACTTGAAAAACAGAAAAGTCACAACCGTTCTAATTGCTATTGTCTTACAACAACATTTAAAGTTGTTTTAAACTGCAAACACAATGTCCTATATTTCTTTCTTTTTTTTTTTTTTTTTAACCACAATGCGTATGAGCATCACGGTATTGTGCTCATCTCCTCCATTGGACAGCATTTTGCCTTCTTCAGAGCGGAGGTGGGGTGCTCTGCCCGTTAGCACAGCCTGCCTGCCAGGACTCCAGCTCTGGCATTTACCAGCTGGTAACGCTGAGCAAATTCTTAACCTCCTTGTGACTCAGCTTGCCCCCCTGTAAAAGGAAGATGATCGCAGTTTCCTCCTCGCGAGTGTGTTGTGAGGATCGAATGAGTTGATGCTTGCGGAACACTGAAAGAGGGACTAGCACATGGCTGGTTTTACAGAAGTGTAGCTATGATTATCTGTCAGATTGGTGGGCCCAGTTCAGGTCTTTTGAAAAACGAGTGCCCTCTTTGGTCGCCTCTGCTGAGGGAGACGTGGCCCGTGGTGTACGTGTGGTGCTTGAGTGTTTCGGTCCTAATTCCCTGTTTGTGGTTTCTTTGTGTGGGAAGGCAAGAAAACTGAAAAGTGAGGGACCTGTGCTCTACCTCTGAGTTTGGCACAAAGGGAACCCACGGTTTACAGACTTCTCATATTTTAAAATTCTCACTCTCAAAAATAAAAACCACTGGCTCCTTCCACAGGGCCAGGGAGACGGTAGCTCACTTAGCAAAATTATCAGTCGCCTTAGAAGAACCCTGCTGATTGACGGGGAGAAAAGCAGGCTATGATAACGCAGAGTAAACTTTCTTGGAAATGAAAAATCTCATCCCTCTCTCCAAGAGAGCCATAAATTACAAGGTACAGTTACATTTTCTTCTACTACCACTAATTTCTCGGTGTTAAAAGGAGATGACGGAAATAAAAATTTGAGAGACTCATTGATTCTTCCACAAACACAGACTGAGCCCTGTGCCGGGCAACAGTGAGGATTGATGAGAACACAAGGAAAAGTCGCCAGAGGCTACGCTGGGGCGGTTTGGCCTAGCGCCTCCCCTCATGCACCAATCATCAAGGTTTAAGATTAAAGAGGGCTTGATTTTGTATCACATTTGTGCTTTGGAAAAGGCACCTACCCAAACACTGCCCTTTCAAATCCTGGTGTCCATCCACATAGCTGAAATGCCTTTCCCACTTCTGTGGGTACAGGGCACATCACTCAAAGGTGAATCAAATCTCTTGTCCCCACACACACTTCCGTTCCGCCAGCACCCCCCTCGGTTGGCTGGAGGAGGGCCCGTCTCCTCTGTCTTGTCCGATCTAGACATGTCTATTACAACAGCCCTCCCTCCCGAGAGACCCCATGCTCCCGGAGGGCACGGACTGCATTGTCCTCGGTCATACATTCTCAACACCCAGTGGAATACCCTCCATAAATGGTTGTTCAAGTAACAAATGAGCAGTTCCAGAAGCTTTCTGGTTTTCCCTTTACCCAGCTCAGCCTCAGTCCCCCTCCGGTATTTGTACAGTTTGGTCTTTGTCTTAGCTGGAATCCACAGAGCGCCACTCACAGGTAATATGGCGGCGTGGTTCTCCCTGCCAACAATTTTCTAGAAAGTTCTGATCATCTGTATGTCATCCTCAGGCCATACCACCCTCTATTAGATGCATATAAAGCTTCAAAATTTCATTAGAAGCAGAACATTTATATTCAGTGAAAAGATTTTCTTTTAAAACAGAAAGTATAAAAATGTCCATGAACAGCCAAGTCTGGAGGGCCCTCCAGCACACTTACCTTTTACAAAGGGTCTTACTTGGGTCTATTCAGAAATGCACAGCAATGCTATGCAGACGAAATTCTTTGTCATGAACTTTACTGTCAGTGAACTCTTAGGAATTCCCTTCTGTCCTTGAAAGAATGAACTTCAAAGTCAACCCGAAACTCTAAGGTGAAAACATATGCAAATATACAAAAATGAGCTCGCCCTGACTGGGAAAGCGATCACCAAACCAAAGAGAAGCTTCTGTTATTTGGACACTTTGAGACTTGATAGTTTCACAAGAAATAGGCAGGGATTTCTACGGTGCTGGTCTGTCTCAGTGATTCTAGAGCCATCCTGTCTGTGGTTCCCTATGTTCTTTGCATGTCTTCCCGCTGCGTGGGATTTTTTTTTTTTTTTTTTTTTGGCCACTTTTGTACTCTCTTGATCATTTCAATACCAGCAGGAGAGTAGGAGAAGCAAAAAGAGATGATATCATAATCCCCCTGTTTTTTTCTAGTGGTATTTATGATAAGAGGCTTTAGGGGAAAGAACACTAAATACCACAGCTGAAATCGGGGCTTTGAATAACCCCTGGACTTCGATTATATGCAGTGGCTCTCACTTCTGTCATCTCCACAGACATTCAGTTCAAGACGAGTATATCCACAGTCTATTATTTCCCGAACAAAAGTGCTAGTAGGCATTTTAAGAAATACAAGAGGACCAAAGGTTTGAGCCCTGCTCTCAGGGAGTTTTTCATCTCTTGAGGGATACAAGGTCTGCATATATGAAATAATGATGAACCCTTAAGACAGTAAACAGTATCAAATGTTCCAATAAGTAGAAGGAACGTATTCGAGAAATTCTGAGTGCCGGCTGCGTGTTGTCCAGCCACATCTTCTTTCTCATCCCTAGTTACAGGGGGGCTGACGAGAATCAGGCCACAGTCTAGTGTTTCCCTCCTGGGTGACGGAGTTAGCACCAGGAGCAGCAATTGTGCAAGGTGCAAAGGTAGGGGTGCTAATAATGACACCCCAGGATGTTTTATGGGCAGAGGTGCTCTGAGGGCCCTGAGCATCCGGGACCGCCAGCAGCCAAAGGAATGAACTTGCTTTCCAGCTCTGAAGCCCTTCCCGCTGGGGCCCATCAGGCTGTGCACTAACTCTGCTCTAGGTGACTGATGTCAGCCTTCTGTGACAGTCTCAAGTGACCTCAAGGAGCTATCAAAAACAGGAAGAACCAGAAAACCAGTTAGGCAGAAGCATGCAGGCAATATTGAATGAACAATTAGATATGATAGAAACATAACGTATTAAGATGACCTAAGGGTCTTTCTTAGGTCTATTCAGAAATCAGAACACCTTGATTTTTACAGCCGTGACAAATTATGCCCTGTGACGCGCAAGTATTTGGAGAACTGCTTGCAAGCACAGATCCCCCGTTCCCCCTTTGGATATATAATCAATCTGCTGTAGCTAACAAGCTTGGAGGTGTCTGAAAGACCGCTCCTCACGAAGACAATGAGGAAAGGGTTTACTACCCCACTTTGAGGCTGGCTGTCTTTCAGCTGACAAAGCCATTCTCCCCATGACCTGGAGGCCCCCAGTGGTCGCTCTCTGCTCTCTGGCCCCAAAGAACTCCACGCAAAGGCACTTTGTCAAAGAGTGGAAAAACTTTGTTCCAGCTTGAAACCTAATTCTATCATGCGCGTAGATTAGAATACGGTGCCATTTTTCCTCACTCTCTTTGCATGTACATTCATTTCCTACACTAAAGCTAATACTTAAAACAAAGCAGTTTGATTTATAGCCGGTGTCCTCCTCATAAATCACAGCTGCAGTGTGGTGCTGGGGGCCTTCCTGCGCTGGTGCACTTACCTTTTTATAAACGACGTGGGCCACCTCCCATTGGAGGCAACCTGACGCTTCCCAGCTCCCTGTCACCTTCCTTTCCTCCTCATTCCCTGGGGGACCTCAGGCCCAGTCTTGGCAAACATGCTGGTTGTGTTCCGTTTTGTTTTTATTTTTTAAATTAAGGAATGTCAAAATTAAAACCTATGGCTTTGCCCTCCTGTGCTTTGCTGGCTGTAGAAATACAGCTGGGCCACTTGTCCCCTCCGTGTACCCTTGTAAGCACAGTTCCTCTGAGTTTCTTACCTGGGAATGGATGGAGGCAGAAGTCGCCTTGGCAACAGCTCGAAGCACTGGGGCAGGCGGCTTTCTCCTTTGGTAGAAGAGGCTGGTTGATACCCACAAATTTTCCCACAAAACGTCCTATTGGGACCTAGGGGAGGGATGCTCAAAGTCAGTCATTTCCTGTGCTTCCTCCTTCTGTCCAGCATCTGTGGAGTCTGGGAAGTCCGGCATAAGTGTGTCAAGGGGGTCCTCAAGGACTCAAGGGATGGCCAAGAGAGTCACGAGGCAGGCCACCTGCTCCAGACCCTCTCCAGTCACGAGGCGGGCCACCCTGCTCCAGACCCTCTCTCCTGCGGCGTCAGGAGAGAAAGGGGTGACAACACATTCTTACAGCTAAGGGTGGTGATAGCAGGACCCTGAGCCCAGATCCGAAAGCTTATTTATCTTTCCAAAAGACGTGAGATGTTCCATACACACAACTTAGGGGTGTTGTGACTTCCCAGGACATACCACCTGTTTACCTCGGCCCCTGTTGCTCACCTGTCTCAGTAATGAAGGTGAAGTTGCCCTGCCCCCCAGGAGTGGGCTGTGGGAGGCTTCTCCTCCCTGGTGAAGGAGATGGGGGGCTCCTGCCCTGTCTACTACCACTGAGCCATGTCACCTGAGGCAAGCCACCTAAACTCTTGGAACCTCAATTTGTTCTCAAGTAATATGAGGCATACGGGTTATGTGCCAACTCCCTTCCTAATTCTAAAGTTCAATTATTCTAAAAATGGATGTTTGTGAGAGCAGGGCTTCCCAGAGCATGCTCCAGAGAGCCAGGTGAGGGGTGCCTGCTCAGAAACATTTGGGGAGTGCTAGGTTTTCTTATGGCAGGACTTCTCAGAACCTTTCTCAGGGTATCCTTTTTTGGTTATTTTTCTTTATTTCGTAGGATTTTTTTAACTCACAAACTATGATGTGCTCCTTGTAAATAGATAATCCATAGGTTTATAAAATAAATATTGATAATCTCACCTTCTCTTCTCCAGTTCCACCCCCAGAGGTAAGCAACACAAGGTTTCAGTAGGTCTGTGCATCCTCTGAAAATCTTTCTAGAACATGACTCTTGAGGGAGGGGGATAGAGCAAGAATTTGTCTCCAACGGTTGGACCCGTTTTCACAGAGCACTGAGCAGTGGGAACACCATTCTGTTCTATATTCTAAGGGAAATCCTGAGCCAGAGTGCAGAACTGCTCTTACTGGAATAGAATTCTTTTCCCAAAATGATAAGGAGTCTACACAAGCCAGAGGGCCACAAACATAACGCTATTCATTGTCCAGATCACAGGATGTTTTCACTCTTGATGAGATTTTGGAGACTCTCTTAGAACACTGACAAACCGTAAGTAGCCTCTCTGCAGGAGGCTTTCAGAACCCCCTAGGGTTCCTGTCAGCTTGGGCTGACACCTCACCTGTGTGTCCCTAGAGTCTCCACAGGGACGGTGAAGATGGGATGACACCAAACCAACCCTGCCCTCCCCAAAAGGCTGGCATAGGATGACACTTTTATCTGTATGTTCCCAACTCCCAGAGCATCCCCGGTTTGTAGAAGGAGTTCAGTCAGCACTGGTGATCCCCTGGCTGAATGAAGTGAGGAAAAAGGTGACACTGGAATAATCTAAGACCCAACACCTGCATCAGGTCATGGTCTGATCCCCCGTGCTCCACCTCGAATGTGCCAGATATGTTTTCACAGACATTGTTTTATTTAATCTACATAAAAAGGACTCTGTGAATTCAGCAGTATTATCCCCGCTTTGCGGAGTTCACGTCTGTATGACCAGGAAGACAAGATCTTGACCCAGTAAACTTCTGATTGGAAGCCAAGTGGTCGTCCCCGTACCACAATGGTCTCTATACTTTTTTCCTTCAAGTTCCACACCCTAGTCCTTAGGGATCGAGGGAGTGGGCATGATGGAGGGCAGAGGTGGCCGGACGCAGGTGGCATCTGGGATCTAGTCCAGATTTCAGAATAACTGTGTGACTTAGGGCCTAAATGATCTCGAATGGATCCCCTCGATCAACTCTCTTCTTGACATTGTCTGTTTGACCAACAGTAACAACAAAAACCCTTGCAAAAAAATCCAGGAAAGAGTATTTTTTAAGTGGTCTCTGGAACTGTATTTAAGCCAAACTATACAACACCTGCTCTGGCTCATCCTTCTTAAGACTCCCAAGTTGTGTCATCCACAAACAGATTTGCATGACTTGTGAGGTTCAAATGGCTTTCAAAATGCACTCAACTCTCGGTTGTGAAACCGAGGAGATTCTTGGGAAGGATGTATGGAGAAAACTCTCAATATCCGAGGAGCTGACAGATAAAATGTTTGTGTCAGAGCAGTGCACAGGGATCCATTCCAGAACAGCACAAATTCTGCATTCTGGTATATTGTCCAGTTGGTGTAACCAGGCTAAATTACACAGCAAGACCCTTTATAAATTCCAACACAATTAGAGCCTTATTCCCATTTTCTTACACCCTGTGGGGCAGACCCCATGAGAAGGGCTTACACGTCACGCCGGTCTACAAGTAGCCGCAGGTAAGGGCACATTTTACAAACGTTACACAATGACTCTCCGCATTAGCAATATGGTCATCTTTCTTTACAGCCCATTTTCATGTTTAATTATTTGCTTTGATTCATTTTTATGGCTGGAAAGAAAGATTTTTAAGTAAACATTCTTCTAAAGTCAAACTATTCTACAAACTTTTAAACAACTTCTAAATTTATCGCACCTGATTTTCCTAATGGTTTTAAGCTTCTAAAATTAATGTGCATCCTGAGAAGACTTTTTCTCTTCCTGGGGGAGAAAGAAGTAATAATTGTGTAAAACAGAGTCTGTCAGTATAATGATTAGCAAAAGAAAACATGCCAAGTTCAAGAACACTTGAACAGAATTTGCAGCCTGTTTTTTTTTTTTTAAGATTTATTTATTTACTTAGAGAGAGAGAGAGAGAGAGATCGAGCAGGGGGAGGGGCAGAGGGAGAGGGTGAGAAGCAGACTCCCCACTGAGCATGGAGCCTGACTCAGGGCTTGATCCCATGACCCTGAGAGCATGACCTGACCTGAAATCAAGAGTCGGACGCTTAACCGACTGAGCCCCCAGGTGCCCCACTTGCAGCCTGTTTTGACAGAACATTGTTCATTCCATTTTTCCACTAATAATAGAAATTATTTTTCTAGAAATATAAATTGTGTTGTGTGGTGATGCAATTGATTATTGCTCTGTGGGATTCAACCAGCTTTGCATCTATTTGTAAATTCACTTCAGCGCTCCTGATTGCCTGTGTGTGTGTATATGTTGAATTGTCTTTTGAGCTGGTTGTAACACCTTATTGGCTCCCTCACTAATTAATGAGTTAAATAAGATATCTGATAGGCATTCATTTGTACTCATCTAAGGGTTATGGGCCTGAAGATTCTAAATACATTGTAAAAAATTAATCTTTAACATAGGTCTACTTTTTAATATTAGAATTCAAAAGTCATTTTTAAAGAAATATTCTGCAAATTTTGAAGAATTTGTTCTTATGAAAAGGAATTACCTAAATTTTAGAAACCAGTTTTGAAGCATTAGAAATATGGGTTAACTAACCACCAAATAACCAGTGAGACTTTCTGATATTGAAGAGTTTGTAGAGAAATTAGGTGTCCACAGCAAGAGATCATGAGCGTTATATGCAAACCATTATCAGTGTGGTTTTGAATCTTTTGTAACTGAATATCAAAAATATTTCCTACCCACCCAACCCACCACCCTTCACCACAGACACACACGGCCTTCTTTTTTTTTTTTTTTTCCACACACAACCTTCTTTGTGTGTGATACAAATCCATTTCAGAACACGTCTTCTTTGTTCAATGATGTGTCACTTAAGGGTCTCCTTTGGGACCTAGTGGACATTTTGTGCTTGAACAAAAGCAAACATCTCAATCCTCTTGGTATGAAGAACTAGCCACTAAAGACAGGCTAAGAGGTACATAGGAGAATCCCAAAGCCAACTGAGGAAGAAACAAGAGAACCAGACGTTCAAAATTAAGAGCCTGTGAGGAAGACCAGTGGTAGCCTTGACCCAAGGTCTGTAAGAAAAGGTATGCAAAGTCCCAAAGAGGAATTCACCTAGCAAGCCATCGGGAGTCTGTTTGTTGGCTGGGGCTTAATAGCTGGCCTAAGGCTTGTTGGGGAGGGCCGTTCTGGTATGGCCTGTGCTGGTAACGCCTCAGAGCACAGCCCCCAGGCACTGGCCCTGCTCCAGGGAAAACCTGGCTAAGTCTACCATAGTGGACTAGGAGAACTGTCCCCTGAGAGGCCACCCATGGACCATCACCCAGCCTGTGCAGGGCAGAGAACATAGGACATCAACACATAATGGACAAGCATCCATAGGGCTCTGTGGCAGTGACACCAGGTGATAGTTAAGGGACGGGTACAATAGTGGAGATGGAGAGGGTTTCCAATTCCTTCTATGGCTCCATTTAGAAGCAGAATTAACAGAACATCTTTGGGGTAAGTTATCCCTCCTTCCAAGTTTACACACGTTTTGGAGGATGCCCTCAAGAGGCAGGTTACACAAAGGCACATGAATGTGCAATAAATTGATTGGAAACTTGAAAGTGCTATATTACCACAGCTACACTTGAAGTGGTTGAAGCAGGTCATACAAGTCACACTGGTTTTTCTCTAGCCAAATTCTACATTATGTTCTAACAGGACCTCAGAATGGATCATATAAAAATCAAAATTGAAAAAAAAAAAAACCCAGAAGTTAAATACTCTTTATAGCTTCAGTTTCTGCCCTTCTGAAGGATGGGGGTGCTGAGGAGGGTAGCTGTGATTGTGTTTTGATTGATCTCTGGGGATGCAACAGTCCAAACCCCACCAGATCAGACATTGCTGGTCCCGGGTTTTTAGACACAGGCCACATTCTGGCAGTAAGACCAGAACTCGGGGCAGTTCTGCCTTGACCACAGAAGTTGGGGCAAAAAATGCAAGTGGTGAAAAACTATAGTTGAAGATATCTTTGCTTCTAATGCCCATAGATCTTATCAACCAAGACAAGGCTACGAACAAAGGCTTTTGCGTTCTATAAAGAAAGGTCCTAA